ACCTTTTGTTCCGGTGATCGTAACTCCTTCTTCCGAACTGCTTCCCGGGACTCACCCGTTCGCCGCTGTCACCACACAGATGAAAATGACTGCGGGTTCGGAGTTATTCCGTCAGTTGACAGCCTTCCAAGCCACGGCTTTTAACGCACCGCGATAGACTCAAGCGTGTCAGCTTGTTTACAGATGGGAATATTCGTTGAAACGTCGGCCTTACTTGCTCGACCGACTCTCAAGCACCAGCCGATTGTCCGAGTCGGTCAGTTGTTTGATACGAGAAGTATTGACAGGTCAGCATGTGGCAGGCAAAATAAACCCTAACGCCTGTCTACACAGGGCTGTGCCCAACGTGCGCATCCATTGTCCGGATGCGAACTTGCTCCAATCTATTTTTAGTCATTTCTGTACGGAATATAATTACCTCGCTTGTTGAGTAACTTTCACTGACCGCTAGCAAAACGAACTTGTTCCGCTCTGCCTTGAGCCCTGACAGCAGCTGAACCAGGTAGTAGTATAGGCAGAGAGTATTACCAGTCAGGACAAGGGAGACTGGAATGAAAATTTCTGGCTTAGTATCTATCATCAGCCAATCATATGCAAGCCCAAGTGGTGCACTTCACGAGACAATAACGCCTTAGCCATTGTCCTGCCAGTTTGGATCACGAGATATCGACACTCGCTAATTAACGTTCATCGATTGCTTACGAAACTCCCTTGTCCGAAGGGCAGAGCGGGACAAGCGAATTCCGTTAACGGTCGATGACGCTTTATCTCTTATCTCTGCCGGTAATATTATCCGCTTTAATTATCTCTCTGTTGGCAACCAATTTACCCAGAAGAAGACGGTGCGATCGCCGGGAAAATAAGATTATGGATCTGACGTTTAGGGCTCTGGCTCGAACGCGTAGTCAGAGAGTCGGCGAAAAGGGTGATGCAAGCACAAAAAGTGCAGTATTTATAGCACATATTGGCCGCATAATCGTATGTGAACTCAAAATAAGCAGCTCTTGCCGTCACTACTGTGGGTCGTAATGGATGCGATTATGAACTGGCACTGCGCGTCCGATTAGTTGATTGCCGCGAAGTGACAACTATGCAGCAGTTTGGCAGGCCGTCATTGGGGGCATTAGTAGCCCGCGCTCTCCCCCCATGATTGATTCATTTACCCAGATAAAGGCTCAGCAGTGAATATAGGGACGGGAGGTCGTTGCGCTTGTTGGTGGACTGCGGCCTGAGCACCCTTCCTCGGGCAGATTGCGCAGTTGTTACGTCTTGCGAGGAGTTGGAAGCCATATAACTTTAAAATATAGCCCAATCCCGTCGAGTGAGCCGCAAACTAGGAGCTATTGCCATATTGGTGACCGCGAAATGATCTGAACCCGTAAATTCTAGAGGTGGGACTGAGCTCTACCATAAAAAGGCTTCCTCGACATCAACGGAATCTTTTTGTGTCATCTGAGGTGACCATGATATGGAGAATTTAATCAGCGACATCCTGTTCAGAAGCGATATGGAGGTCCCCGCTCACTCTCAGCCCACCGAGTCCATACCGTGCTTCCTTCTCAGTCCAGCAGAGCAGCAGCACCCGGACCTTCTTCCCAATCTTATTTCTACTGACGAAGGTATCCCTCTTCACGCAGCCTACATCGCTCTCCGCAGGCATCTACGCGTAATCCTCCCCCCACCCTACTCTTCGCCTTCCCTCCCCCCTTCCCCTACAACAGTTGATTGGTTCCTATCCACTATAACTGTTGCTCGCTTATCGTTGACGGTTTATCTCTGACGATGGACTCCCGCAAGAGCCCGAAAGCTCAGATGAATAAAATTACGATTCCGGTGAACGCAACCACTTCTTCTTCTAGACAAATACCTGGGACACGAACCTTTGCCTCTATTCGCAATAATGATATGCCATACCGATTGGCCGTCGATATGCAACTCAGCCACCGGCCTTCTCCAGCCACCCCATCAACCGTACTGTTTGTACGCATCCATTCACTCAATTTAACTATTCTTCCTCCGTTCAGCTTCTACTTTTCACCCGAACTCCGGGGTGCGAGGGGAAAACTTGTAATGACCCAATTCCGCGTGCAATAATAATCTTCTCACCTCTCGCGACGGATGGTACGTGTGCACCAGTGTCTGCCTACCCCAATTCGGTCTGGCTACACACCTTCCTATGACTGACTCACATATAACCAAGCTGTGATGACTCCCGCGCTCGCACACTTCGGATGTCGGTCTATGGGCTGTGGTTGCGCGCCCATCCAGCTACCAACTTCCGCCGACCTACTTCTGCACAGAATATACCATTTCTTTCACCCGACTTCCTACTGCTTCTCTGTCTACATGAAACCGGGTCTGCAAATCGCAGCGGCTAGGGTCGTCCCTATTAAGTTAAGCCACTGCGATACGTGCTCGGCCATTCGCTTCCAAAATCATCTCCCGGCAACTAACTTATCCTTCCCCTATTCCAAACCTAACTTGCATTTCAAATTGATTGGAGTTTGTCACGACAATCTCTCCATGTTGTTTTTCCAAAGTCCTTATGGCAGCTCAGTTCGCAACCCGGCCTCATCTCTATCCAAAATGTTAGACGATTTCTAGGGGCGCGATTTTTGAACAGCGGTCGGGGTCAGATGGATTTATATTAGTAGCCAAATCTTGTTGATATCCGCATTCTACTTTTAATGATCTACTTGGCCGGGATCCTGAATTTAATCCACCCTGCCTCGCCTAGCTTTGCTGACTGCTGACTCAGTCGGGCCGTCGCATTTTAATTTAAGCCTGAAGGGAAAGTGACGTGGTGTTGGGTACCTTCGACATCTTCAGACTCCACGGCTTCTTTCTCTTCTTGTGTGCGTTCTCCTCGGAGTCTGCATCATCTTCCATTTTCTGTTGGTAGAAAAGAAACAGGCAGTTAAACACCAACAATGCATTCTCTTTGGCATGTAATCGCCTTATAAGGCATGCAAGAACGGAGTTTACCACATAACTTTTTATGTTAACCAGGGAGTGCGTATCGCATAGAATTCACTGTCAGTTTGGTTCTTGGGATGATTTACAGGCTATGAACAATTTTCTGACAAGGACGCAATATATGAACCTACCCGAGGAGAAAAGGATAGGTCAGAATGCAATACGCCACCGTATTACGCGTCAACATAACCCTACAGTAAGTACGATAAATCATGAACTTCAAGCAGTTTTAAAAGAAAATCCTTATTTCAACGAAGCAGTCCAAGCTGCGTCCCCCAAAAGTATTACAACAGAATGAAAACAATCCACAAGTAAAAATAAAGATTGGGGTTGATAAAGTAATATTACCTTGTTTAGAAATGCTGGGCTTTTAATAAAACCAGAAAATTCTGAAGAATAGGAAAACCGGGGTTACTTAGGGACTTCAAGTTTTAAAAGTAGACAAAATCTCTTCCTGCAAAAAAAATCGAGTTAATAAAGCAGCACAAGTAGAATTACGTCTGAAAATGATGCTTTTGCGAAAATTTCAGATACCCATGCTTCGATATTACGCACAATGTAAGGTACGGTTGCTAACAAACAATCCAAAATTTTAGTATATTTTTCGAAATGTTTTCACGCGAATTGCAGGTTGTTTTTTTAACTGAATCTCGTCGTATTTTCCAGGAAACAACGTAATTTCTCATAATTGCATTAACCCGACCTTCAATAACGCAAAACGAAACCTCAGGGACTTTGAGAGATATACTTAAAGCGTTTTTGGCCTTTATTAATTTTATTTTATGGTAAAACACGCATAAACAAGGCGTTTTGATCCGCCTTTTGATTTGCAGGCCTTCCTGCTACATCCCATCTTTCAAATTGTGCGGTCTTTTCCGCCATCTCGTTGGTGTTGAAAAACAAATATGCTGCAGGAATCTGAACATGCTCAATGCCTTTCACAAATTCCATTAATTGCCGAGTCTATCTACCGTACCCATCGTTCCCGTATTAGAGAAGTCTTCGTGCCCTAGTCTCTTAGGCAGCGTGCATATTCAATCCCTACAACATTAGACAAAAGATGGCCCTAATTCTTGATACTGCTACAGTATTCAGTCAGTCATGAAAATAGCAAAGTCACTAGAGATCCCCGAATCATATCCCGATTAGGAGCGGTGCAAAGATGCAGGTCGGTGGGAGACTCGCATACTTCACAGAGGCGATGAAGTTAATCGGAGCAGGCAGTAAGTGGATGGATGTTAGTTGTGGCGAGCCAGAGCCTGGTCACGCCAGGGTGGGAGATTATTGGACTGATGTTGACACTTTCAGAAATTGACCTAACGACGCCCAAAATAGCGTCTGGATGTCTATTGACGAAAATCACATACGCGCACTCACCAGACAGGGACTGAAAAATGCCATCAGACGCCAAAAAGAGATTTCAAAACCCTC